TTTGCGTGGCTGTGTCTTTAGTTGTAAGCACAGTGGCGATCTGTTGTTATTAGCATCTGGTTAGCTAGCTATGCTAACGAATTTAAAGAGCTTTTCTACAACCAGGTGGAAGAGAGCTCTCTCCTGAGAGGCTCAAATAACCTCAGCTCAGTGAGGTTCAGGCACACCTTGATATGATCATTATATTTATTAATGAGACTAAATAAAAAAACAGGTATAAAATACTATATGACAGTAACAAAAAAGTTGTTAAAAATAACAAGAATAGAGTTTAAAAGGGGAGTGATTTGTAAAATATCCAAAAAGAAAAATCTGCTTACAGTTCTGTTTGATATGGGTGTTGAAAGATGAATCCATAGATCTCTTCATTTTGCTCTCAAAGTGCACCAGATTGATGCTTTCAACTTCAATATTTAAAAAAAATCTTCCCGGGGGAGCATGCCCCCGGACCCTCCTAGAGGAGGTTAGGTCCCCCCCACTTAAATCATGTTCACATGGATAGGATACTAAAACATTTGCATACATCTTGTGTCCATATCTTTCTGTTTTGGTGGTCATGCCACAACCGTGCATGCTGCTACGTGAGTCATGGTGAGATCTCTGGATTAAGAGGTTGCTTTTTCTTTGCACAGCATGAAAGAAAGAAGAAATGAATGGGCTGTGATTTTTTGTATTTTTAAGCAGAGGTTGAGTTCAATCATTTGTATGGCCCTCGGAGGATGTTGTAAAAATTGAAAGGAAAAAGGTTCCCCACCCCTGCTGTAAATAATAATAAAAACCCTTGATTTATAACTTAACATCTCTGTCTCCTATTGATCTGAGTATATTATAAAGAATAGCCAGTTAATTGAAGCATTATAGCACAGGCCTTTGTCAGATGATATATTACGCTGTTTTTTTCTGCTTCGAATAGTTCTCTCTTTTTTCACCATACCTGTGTTTGCACCACTGTAACCAATGAGCACCTGCATGTGTATGAGAATGGCCCTCACACCATTTCAGCCCAGATTTACAAACTCCTGGCAGGACAAGCTCAAGCTCAATTCTCGCACTGAATTTAAAAAAAGTGAGTGAGGGACTGCAATATAAAGGGAAAGAAAGAGAAACCTTAAAACTGTTCAATTGTTATGATGTGTAAAGACTGATATTGTTCTATAATCGTCTGAAACTGTTAAGTCATGATGTGAAACGGAACCTGTTAAACCCCGAGCCTGTTTTTCAGGTTTCAGGCTCGAAAATGATTTATTTTATCATAAAAGTAATGCACTTTTAAGATGCACATATTTTCAAAAGCTAATTTTATTTATTTTATCTATTTTATTTTAAATGCAGCACGAGAGGAAACATCACACATAATCCACAGTATTTGCTGTATATCTGTATAGTTCAATGTGATAGACAATAAATATTGTTGTTTATGAATTGTTACTTTCTTTATTTGATTGGCAGTCAGTTGTTGATTACATGCAGACGTTGATAAAGCTACTTGCTACTTCATATATATCACACTAATTCATAAAGCAACTTAGACACATTTTTGGATGTTCCGGACCTTTTGCGATGGGACATTTTCTCTGTAAACTGTGTCAAAGAGCCTCATTGCATTTGAGTTGCTAATACAGATGCCGCTGAGTTACCGTAGCATATCTAGAACAATGCCCATGTACTCTGGGAGACGACCGACAGTGGTGCGTTACCAGAGTGAAGCCTAAGGTTGTTACTATATTTGCAGGCATGTATGTCCATTCTCGGTGATCACTGACTCCAGACTTAATCAGAAACATATAATGTGGGCATCTTTTTCATATTAAACTAAATATAGTGCTCAGAATGGGTTAAGGACAGGCAGGTGACCTAGCAAGCACGCAAACATCTAAACTCTCAACCTGAAACATGCCAGTCACAATTATTTGACGAGGGACAACCAGGAACCTCCGTGTTTGTCCCACTGGCTCTAATTGGCCCCGGATGGCTGTCACCACCCATCTCCCTCTGAAGTGGCTATCAGCTCCCTGTCAGAGCATCAAGGTTAAAGGGATGATTGCTTCAGGAGCAAAAATAT